TTGCACACACTGTATGTTAGCCAAATTGACAATAAATTATATTTTAAAAAAATGAAAAGCAATAAATTATCCCAAAATATAAACAAATAAATAAATAAATCAGTTTAGTGACCATTATGGAAGCTCTGTATTTTGTGGAAAACAGAAAAATAACTAGCCAGCTTTTCCATAGCTAATACTTTTATTTCAATCCAAGACTCACAAATGGGGCTCCTATTTCCTCTTTCCCTCTCTGAATAGACTTTTGGGCATAAGTCCCATATCCCTGAGGCTGCAACTGGTGTCCCTCCTAGTGGACCAGCCCTTCTGGAAGAGCCAAGAGAGTTTCAAAAATGTCTTACTTGTTACACCAATAAGAGTTGTGATGGCCAGATCCTGGAACAGAAACTGGTAATTTGAAAGGCTGTTTGTCTCCTGAAAAGAAAAAGGAAAGCAGGTCAAAAATGTTGTGACCCTCTGGATGAAGTCTGACATCAGTTGCATTCATTTTTGTTCCTGCAACATGGGATTTTACAAGAAGAAGGTGTGGCCAGGGTCCTGTTTGTGTTGGTAGAAGTACCAAAGATAAGGCTGTGAAACCCTCTCCAACCAGGAGGCCACCTTTGTGTGCTTTCTAGGCTGGGTCCTTTGTACATCAACATCCTCCTGTTGAGGGAGATGTCTTACTCTACTAGATCCATCTCTGATCTCTTTTCTACCTGCTAGCAGAAAGTCAGGGTTTGGTCTGGCACAACAAGACAGTGAGTTCCCAGTAGTAACAAGAGACAAATGTGTGGTGATCTTACCCAAATTTTACCAGTGGAAAAAGAATAATTGAACCTACTATTTGCAGTGTTGGGTGTTATTAGCAAGTCCTGATAAGGCATCCTTGATATTCTTGGGGGGGAAAAAGGTTAAGATCTTACTGATTTCAAGTAACTTGCTTCCTTGCCCCCGTTTTAGTGGAAAGGAGATCAAGATGACCCAAGTTCAACTCTAGTTTGTAGCATGAGTTGTTGGGATTCCAAAATAGGACCAAATTTCTGTGCACAGCCTCTCCTTCTCCATCTCATTCATTGTGAGTGGGAAAAGACATAAGCAATCTGAAAATAACAAAACTAAAACCTTCAGCCCAGAAGCAAGAGGGCAGGACATAGAGATGAATCTAACGAATCATCATCAGGCTGCTTATACTTGCTCATGAGAGTCGACTGCAAAGTTTTCAGGGATTTTTTTTTTTTTTTGAACTGGCTGTTAAACACAGCCATTGTAGAACCTGAAATTATACAAATCTACCATTAAATACATTATGCTAAAACAAAGCTAATAAATACCCCCAATCCAGCACTTCCTAATCCTTTTCCTACATTGTGCTGTTATCTATGTTCTTTAAGATATTTACAAGTCTTCTATCTCGGGGGTGCAAGTACTACATAATGACATGCTATGTGCACATCTCTTCCCAACTCCATGCTCAGTGACGTCAGGCAGGCAGCTCGAAACCAGCCATGGTGGGCATATTTACACCATGGAAATCAGCAAACATGAATAACCAGGGCTTGCTGTCCCAGGGAGAGCGGCTCTGAAACATTTACCAGCTCCCCAGTCCCAGATCATCTCGCTACTGAATGGTACGCTCGGGTAGAGTCACACTGGAACAGAGAAGATGGAGACCTCGTCCAAGCAGCCAGAAGCAACTGCGAGAAAGTGCTATGCCTTGATCGTCAGCTACTGCTACAACACAAAATGTCTCTGTCAGAGAGTCAGAGAATTGACACCTTCAGCTTCTCCCGTGTGCATCTATTTCTGATTTACTTTCACCATAAAGGTAGTTTCAGAGGGGCCCTTGGCCCTCCAAGCTCCCCCACGTGCACTCTTCCTCAAGAGGCACTGCAGGTTGGGAGGATGCAACTCCTTGTTTCAGTTCTAACCAAGAGCTCGGGTCACCAGTCATACCCAGTAGAGCAGCAGAACACCAACATACTGGATCATGCTGTACAGTGCCATGTACTTGAACATGCAAAATGAGGTAACGAGAGCGGCACGTCCTTCCCTGTGTAAGCAAAGAAAGGACAGAGTAAGGAGATGGAAAGAAAGGTCAGTGACTCTGTTGTTCAGCTGAGCTTAGAAACACTCCAAAGCCTGATTATTCAACAGTTTGTCTGACAGACTGGACAGCCTCGAGCCAGAGGGAGCTGCCTGTCAGTATGCTAAACGACTAGACTTTCAGGAAAGACCAATTGCGGGCCCAGCTCCCCAGCCTTGGTCCAGTTCGGGAGCCCAGAGTGCATGGTAGCCTTGTGCTCTCTGTGGGCATCATGTCAGAGCGGAGTCAGAGGACCTGGGGATGCGTCCTAGAGCTCGTACCTACTCACAAGTGTAATTTGGAAGGTCATTTCCTTCTGTCAGTCACAGTTTCTTCATCTGTAAACTGAGGAATTTAAATAAGATTGCAGGCTTGGGGGCTATTTTCATGAAGGTGTTTCATTTCATTCCAATCATTTGGCCATCTCCGCTTTTTCTAAAACGGCACTGAAACAGTGTCTATGCTCAAATACACCATATATCGAATTTAAATAGACTGAAAACAACGAACGTGTTTGTTTCCGTTACTGTTGGTGGACTTTGAGTAAAATGGTATATATTTAAAGCATAAAATAGATTATTTATGAGATGCCACTTTTATCACTTTCATTGGAGAGAAAAGAGTTTAAATTTGCTTCTGGTCATAATGTTTTCCTGGGATTCCAAAGCCTGATTTCAGAGCGGGCTTTTCCCTGTACTGGGGCTCAGCTGCTGTCATTTGCTCTACCAGAAGGTAGTTTCTCGTCATCTCTCACCTCCTTAGAAAGGGTTTTCGCATGCCACACACCTGCAGCAGCCAATTCCACCTCCCCAGCCGCCTTCTTACTTTTCCCATTACCCTTGATTTATCTGTGTATGTGTTTATTGCCTGACTTCTCCACCAGAAGAAAGCTTTATGAGGTCAAGGAATGCGTGGTTTACTTGCTTCTGGGTCTCCAGCGTCTCCACCAGTTCCTGGCACTAAGTGCCTGCTCTATAAACATTTGTC